ACTTACCTACCACTGGGTGACCAAAAGGCAGAGAGTGTCCCGTGAACTGGCGTTGTTATGTGAGGTGTATCACCAAGGTCGGGTATCGGGCAGGAACTGCGGCAGACCTCTTCGTCGGCAGGGCAGGGTAGGGGCCGGGCCGGGTTGGGATCGGGCGCGGCTGGGCGGGATGAAGGGGCGCGGGGCTGGAAGAGAAGGAAGCGAAGCAAGCTGGCTCACGAGGGCGGGCGGGGCGTCAAGGCGTGAACGCCGAACAAGCCCTCTGCACTGTTGATTGATGCATTAGGACGCCCAGCACAGGATCATGCAGGGGATGGACGAAGGGGCGTGGGAGAGGGCCGTGGAGCAAGCGCGCCAAGGTGAGCCCGCATCTCAGGTGGAGGCGCTCACGCTCGACGGCGTCGTCAAGTGCGCGCAGGGCAAGTTGCTCAAGTCCAAGGTCTTCGCCTCCTTCTCGCAGCTGAAGCGCCTGTCGATCGCCAACGTCGGGCTTTCGTCGCTGGCTGATTTCCCGTCGCTGCCGCACTTGGAGCGGTTGATTTTGAGCGACAATCGAATCGCCTCGGGGTTGGAGCATTTGGTGTACGCTGGGCTGAAGTCGCTGCGCGAGTTGGATTTGTCCAACAATAAAATTCAAGCCGTGGAGGACCTGAAGCCGCTGGCTGAGTTGAAGCTAGAGTCCTTGGACCTGTACGAGTGTCCCGTGACGCGCAGCATCAACTATAGGGCTAAGGTGTTTAGTATGATGCAGTCGTTACGGTTCCTCGACAAGACCGACGTGAACGGGAATGAGCGGCCCGAGTCGGACGAGGAAGAGGAGGAGAGCGAGGAGGAGGAGGACGTTGATGACCTCAATGGCGATGGGCTGGAGGCAGAGGGCGAGGAGGAGGAGGAGGAGGGTGTAGAGGGGGACTCGAAGGGTGCGGCCGTGCACGAGGAGGACGACGAGGAGGGGGAGGAGGACGAGGAGCGAGACGACGAGGGTGAGGACAATGAGGAGCTGGAGGACGAAGAGGAGGACGAGGGCGGGAGTTACCAAGAAGAGGTGTTGGTGGCGGCGAGCCGTGGCTCGGCGGTGCAGGGGCAAGTAAACAACGAACACGGCAGCGACGAGGAGGAGGTTGAGGACGAAGAGGACGACAATGTGGAGGTGCAAGACATCGAGGAGGAGAGCGAGGAGGAGGAGGAGGTTGGAGAAGAGGATGATGAGGACGCAGTGGTGGACGAAGAGGAGGAGGACGACGAAGAGGGTATTTGGCACACCTCTGAGAACCCCCCGTTTTTTTCTTTTTTTTCTTATGTGTTGGTTTTTTTCTTCTCATCGCCCGCTCGTTATTCTTTCGGGGTTTGTTACTGCGGGACGGGACCCGGGAGGACGCAGCGTGCATCCGGTCGATAGCACCATGGCTGTCCGTCTAGATGGTGGCCTGTGTGTGTGTCTCCTCATCCAGTGCGGTGATTTTTGCGCTCTTGTTTGCGGTCCGTTCCTTCTGAAAGGGAATACTGGTGGTCTGCGACGTTCTCCTGTACCCTAAGAATACTTGGAAAATAAGATAGCACCGCCATGGTGTAGGGTCGATCGCGAGGTGTTGTCGGGTAGGGGTTTGTGACGTATGTCATCTGTGCTGATGTTGTGGGGTGCTGTGTGTGCAGAGCCAGCGAGCGGCGCGCTGGTGAGCACAGAGGGTGAGCTGGACGTCCAAGAGAACGAGGAGGACGATAACGGGGAGTTGGGGGAGGACGAAGACGAGGAGGAGGTGGAGGACGCGGTGGACAACGAGGAGGGCGAGGAGGAGGTGGAAGAAGAGGTACACACACACACACACACACACACACGTGCACAGTGGATGTCATTAGTGTCGCAGAGCACAGGGGTTACCCTAGACAAAGGTTGAAACTTGGGGGTGGGTGGGGAGACGGCGTCTGGGCGTGCGCTTCGTTGTTGGCCCTTGTGATTTTTGTGAGGGTGGGGGAGGTGAGTAACGACTTTAGTAACCGCAAGGGAAGTTCCACCGGCCTGCCTGTGCATGCTTTGTTGCGTAGGAGCCCCGGCGCACTTGGCAGACCGTTCATGGTGTTGTAGTGCTGCAGGAACTGTAGGAGCAAGTTTGAGGTCAGTTGTACTCGGGAACAAACCGTCTGGCGCAGTGGTAGAAGTAGGGTTTGCTTATTGAAGCGGGAGAGCGTCTGTGGGTGCTGGTTGTGATGGTCCAGGCCTCTGACGACGCGTGTTTTTGACTGTGTGTGTGTAGGATGACGAGGAGGAGGAATACGGAACGAAGTACCTGGTGCAACCCATCATCGGGCAGCCCGAGGAAGACGAAGGAGCCAGCGACTTCGAGCCTGGCGAGGATGACGAGGAGGACGACGAGGACTTTGAGGACGAAGAAGACGACGTGGTGGAGGTGGCACGGGAACCGGAGGCGATAAGGCAAGGAGGGCGGAAGAGGACGAGGGACGAAGCCGGCGAGAGCGAGCAACGGCCTGCAAAGCACTGATCGAGTCTTTTTGCGGAGAGACGAGATAGTTGCCAGTTTTCTTGCCCCGGTGTTTTGCCCGCAGCACTGATCGAGGCTAGTACCAAGGTGTTCGGTGTTTGGTGGTCGGACCACCGATACGTTCGATGAGCCGCGCAAGGAGACGAGAAGTTTTCTTTTCTTTTCTTTTCTTTTTTTTTTTTTCTTTTTTTTTTGCCTCGCGGGACGAGGCAGAGTCTCGAGCGGGGTTTGGGACTGACGGGCAGGAGAGTAGGTCAGGTGGCAGGGAGCTCCCCATAACCAATTCTTTGTAACAAATGTACAAGTAGCACGATAGGGACATGGATCTTGGGGTTGCAGTTAAGAAAGGGGTTGCGAGTTATATCGGACGGGCGAGTCTGCCAGCCTCGCAAGCTGCCGCGCTTTGAAAGCGGACGGCGTCCGGTTCGAGGATGGCAAGGGGCGAGCAACCCCCGGTTTGTAGGTAGAATTTTGAGATAGCTGATACAAATTCGAGCCGATTCTGAGATGAGGACTTTTGAAAGTTTGCAGCCTCCTTGTATGTTTCCGCATGGGGCGGATGTATTCACCTCGTATCTGCCTGGGTTGTGCAGCTTCTTTCGTCAATACGTTGTCCCTGTTAAGGTGTTTATGGTAGGCATTTGTTGGATAAGTGTTCTTTAAATAAAGCCGTGTTGGGACATGTGGTTGCGTGGTACGTTGCTGGTGCGTGGGGGAGGAATGGAAAAGGGAAATGTGTTGGGAGTGGGCGGTAGCGGTGTCCCGGACATTTATCATTTGATATGATTTAAGCACGTCGAGGGCGCCGACGCATGGAATGTTTTCGTCCTGCCCGAGTTCGTTAGCCATCTAGCGACAGGAGTTACGGGTAGTGCGGGTTGTCGGAATCTCGAAATCATGGTTCAAATCGGTATAAATCATGGCGTTGCTGGTGGCATTTGCCTGGTGCGGAGGTGACGGTTTCGAGCGACGTGATGAGTGAGTCGGGTGGTTTGAATGCCGCGGCAGCGGCTGATAACCAGGAGTTAAATTCACGGAGACTCCCACAGGTCCGCATTATCGTGTTACGAAACACAACGTGATAATCCTTTGTAGTTCGATTGTGCTGTGATTCTGGGGTCGCCTCCACTTGTTCTGTGCTGTATGCTTCGAGTGTAGTAAATGCAGGAGTTGAAGGATGCCTGAGTCGTCGGTGCCTGTGGATTTCGAAATCTGGACGCGGGTAGTGTCGTTGTGAAGTCTTGTTCTGTACCCGGGCGCTTGTCTGTTGACTGATTTACTCATGTGGCCGCATCAGACGCCCAACTGCGGGAGTGCCAATTGCGATTGTGCACTTGATCGTGTACGTGGTGTGTTGTATGCCCGCAATGTGGTTTGTGTAGAGAACGAGTTTTGTGGGCTTGGATGTGGGGGTGAAGTAGAAACGGAGAATTGGAGTCATGATCCTGGTTCCCACAACAGCGAGGCTGTTGTTCTGGACCAGTGACTGGAGCGGCTGTGTGGGGGCGCCGATGTAGCAGGGAGGGGATGTTTCATAGTTATAATCCAACAATGGGTTAGGTGTAAAGTGTGCTTTGGCTGACCCGCCAGAGTGAGTCGCAATTCTCAGCATCAGGGGACCTGGAACGTTTCTGAATGTGGTGTTGTGTGTGCTTTCTCTCGAGCTATGTTTTGGTGGTGGTGCTGTGTACTAGGGTCTGTTGGAGAACGGTGTGGGTCTGGACTATACGGGCAATACTTCGGCTTGGAGATGGTGTGGAGTAGCTAATGTTGCGTAGGAATGTGGCTTTGTCATGTTAGGTTTGACGGTTGTGGGTTGAGAATTTTCAAATTGGAATAAGCACTGACGTATGAGTGTTTTTTTTTTCTGATGATAAGGCATTATACACGCAGCAATTAATTTCAGTTGGAATTTTCTTTTTATTGTAACATATATGTGGTTATGTTTTCACTTGTTTGTTTGTTTGTTTGTTTTTCATAAAATGTTTTGGGTTTGTTTTTCTTCTACTTTTTATAGGCTTGGTTTGGATAGGTTTTAGTTATTGCAACCATGTTATCAGTATTTTTTTGTCTTGATATGAAATCAAAATTATTAGTGTAGTTTTGAAGAATTATTTGGTTACATGATATTACATGTGTATCTTATTTAATACATCTAAGGAGGAGAATAAATACATTGGATAAAGAGTAGGAGAAAAAAACTCTTTTGGATTTGTTGCATGCATCATTCTCTCCATCAAAAGCTTTTATGAAAAGTGAACATAAGTGAAGTGAGTTTATAGGGCCTTAACAAAACCAAGTCAACATTGATTGTGTCAAAAGATGGGCAAAGCTACTAGAAGACAAATCCTCTCATGTAATGTTTATTGTTGCTAGCACACTTAGTTATCTAGCACCAAATGTGTTTAAATTGACATCTATGAAGGTTTAGAGTTTGTATTTTGCATTGTGGTGTGTAATTGAGGATAATAAGTGTGATTTGTGATAGGATTAGAAAAGAACATTAAAAAGTCATAATTAGCTTGTTAAAGGACAAATAGACTTGTTGTCCAAAGTAGATTAAATGAAGAAGTATTTATGTTTCCAAATTGCTATTCAATTTTGCATTCTTTTATCAAATGATCTTTAAACAAAGGTAGCCAAGATGGAGATCTAAATCAACTATATCCTCAACATACATTCAAGATGGAGTGGAATCCAACAAAAAGGTTGCAATTTTGGAGCACATGAATTGAATTGATGTGGAGTAGCAATGCGCATCTAAAGATGTACTATATTGGATGGAATTTCAAAGGCCCTAGTTACAATGACAATGAGAAGTCAATTTAGTATTTAGTATGTAGTGTATTTTTTTCTTTATTAGAGCTAATCAATAGTTGAGACATGTAGAGTAGCCTGTGAAGCTTTTGAAAGATTTTGCAAAAGATATCATGAAAAAGAGTGCCAAAGAGGATGAAATTAAACGTAGAGTACAATAACATTATTTGTAACTCTATTATGTCAAGGTATTTATTAAAGTATGTACATGCAAATAAATTCTATTAGATAATAATTACAATATTTAGTCAAATTATAAGTTGTAGAAATTATTTACAAAAGTAGATTTTTTTGTAGAAGAAGGATGCTACCAACATGGTGATTCTCCTTGAATGGTTCTCTTTAAGGAATTAGAACATTATCATCTTCTTCTTTTTCTTCTTCTACTAATTGATGTTGGAATATCACGGTAGGATATTTGTTTTAATGTGAAGAAAATCTTAGAGAATGGCTCTTGATGCAAAGGCATTCAGATGAGTAAAAGTACTTATGGACACAGAAATTTGAAATTTAGAGCATTAATAAACTAAAAATGAAGCATAAAAGAAGCAAAAGATTGATAATCAATGAGAATATAAGAAGGGAAGAATGTAGCAATTAGTCAATGTTTTTGTTTGCATTATGATGACATAGAGCAACTAGGAGGCCAATAATAAGATATATGTGCTTTCATAATTTCTTTGTTAATTATATAGTGTTTGATGTCATTAACATACATATTAATCCAACAGTTATTCAAATAATATGAATTGATAGAAGTAAATTAATGTAAATAAATTTGATAATATCTTATAGAAGAGCCTCTTAAAAGCTTCATAAATGCGGCTTTGACTTTATATATGTTTGTAGTTGATTGATAGGTTAGAAACTTGGCCAACAGATTAGCCATTTGTTGCATGTATTGGTTGCTTGTGATACAAGCTAATTATGTGGCACACATACAAAAAACTTGCCTTGGAAGTTAAGGCACATGTCATAGGTCCTATAAAACATCGCCATATAGCTTCTAGTTAGATAGTATATATGAAAGTAAGAGTGAAGCCTTTTTCATTCTTCTTAACATTTTTTTAATCTTTAGTCTTATTTCAAAACTTTTTAATATTTTTGTCTTTAGCAATAGCCATTTTAGTTTCAATACTATATTAGTTTTGAATGAATATCTACTCTTTTTGAATGATACAAGAGTATATTGAATTTTTTATTTGTTTAAAATTCATGTCCTTGATAATTTGACAAGAGTGTTAATTCATTATTTTTGTTTTTTGTTTTTAGAATTAATTAGATTACTCCACTTCTATTATTGTATTTTGAAGGTTGCTTACTATCCACCTTTAAATTAATAATTTAATTTTCTAACACTAATTTTTTCTTTAAAAAAAGTGGATTACTATTCTTTGTAGAAATTTTCATTTGATATAAGAGGTTGCAAATTATCTTTCTTTAATTTGACTTGTGAATTTATTTGAATTATTTATAAAAAAAAAAATTATAGATGCTACTCTCAATGAAAGTGAAAATAGATTTGCAACTATTGCAAATGTTTATAAGCTTATTAATACTCTTAGGGTTGAAATCTCACATATTTCTAACATGAATTATGGAGGTATTAATTGTACACCTATGGAAGAAGTCAACGATGAGGTTTAGACTCTATACCAAGAACTTGTGCAATTGAGAGAAGCAAGTAGATCAAATTCACAATTGAATCTAAAAAGTCTTGCTAGTATAAGTATAAGATATGTAAGGATAAGTATGCTGGAGAAGTTTGGTGGAATAAGATCAAAGTTTTGAGGATTTCTACAACAAATGAAGTTTTATCTAAGTTTGCATCTTTTTCAATACTTTGATTGATTTATTCAAGTTAAATTCATAGGTGCACTTTTATCTAGAACTACTCTCTTTTAGTTTGTACCTTAGATGGAAAAAGATCTATAACTCTTTTATGATTTGAATTTATTCTTAGAAGTCTTTATAGTCATATTTGGAGAAAGTAATCAAAAAATAGTAATAGAGATCAGATTCCTAACTTTATTACAAAGATCACATTCAACCACCATATGTACTTCAAAATTCCAAAATCTTGCTTGTAATATGGATTGGAATAATAAAGCCCTTATCAATCAATTTCAATATGGATTAAAAGACAATGTCAAAGATTTATTATTGGCAATGCTAACAAAAAATTTATTGAAACAATTTATTACTCAAGCCATTATATGTGACAAATGATTCTTTAAAAGATGTTAAAAAAAATTGATTCCAAAGATATAAGTCAAGTCATAGCAACAATTTCTAAGTTTTTTGAAGTTAATTCATTAAGGTTGGAACCTATACAAATTGACATAGTACATTTCAAATTTCTTACTGAGGAAAAAAAGACTTGACATCATGAAGAAAGATTGTGCGTATATTGTGGAGAACCTCAGCACATTGTTCTACATTTTCCAAAGAAGCAATGCAACTATAAAATAAGATGCATGGTTGCTAAAAAAGACAATGTGTCAAAAAATAATTTTTTCCAATTATAATAGAAATTATGCGGTAAGAATCTTTTATAACATCCAATCAAGGTCTTATTTTTTTTTCAGATAAAGAAGTCAAAGAATCATTTGATACTTTGAAGAAGAAATTTACTTTTGTACTAATCTTGTATCACATTAAATTTTCTAAGGTATTTTTTTATAAAAACCAATGCATCAAATTTTTTCTTAAGTATAATATTGTCATAAATGGAAGCAAATGACAAACTCCATCCAATAGCTTTTCATTCTAAGAAATTTTCAACAACAAAGATCAATTACAAAATCCACAATAAAAAACTTCTTATAATTGTAGATTCTTTTTAGGAATGGCATTATTATCTAG